TAGCCATTTTACCCAAATTATCTGTCTATGGTTAGATATGTCCCTCTGCAACTGGAGCTGGTTAAGAAGATTTATCACTTACTGCCAGCCCCCTGCTAAGCAGCTGGCAATCTGTGGGGCTTTTCTGACCCCATGCCTTTGGATCACATGAGGAGGCACTTAAGACACCACTTTTATGCAAAGGTTCAGATCTATATCTTAGCATCAGCTGTGCACCACACACGCACATGACACTGCTGCTATTCCTTCCACAAAGTAATGTCGGGTGGTTTGGGAGTTGTGTCTTTTGAGGATTGCAAATAGAGCTCTTATTTGATAAGCAAGGAAACTGAAGGCAAAAGGAAGATACCGTGCAGGAAGTAAGCCTCCAGCAAGTTCAAGACTACGTGCCCAACCTAATTCACTGCAGGCAACATGCACCAACCTCTAACCAGGCTGATTTCCAGTAAAGCATACACAAGGCCCACTCATGCTGGTGCTTCCATTTCTGTCTTGGTGCACAGAGAGCAACAGTATGAGGGGAACCAACTGGATATGCCAAGGCACAATGTCTTTCAGTTTTTGCTCCTATTTCGATCGCGCTACCTCTCTCCCTTCCACCAGCCTCTAGCTCAGCATCACTCCAGCCTAGGATAACATGCCAGGAGACAGTCCAGGAGAACAGCATATGGTGACATATGGCACTTGCCTCTGTAGACAGTGAGAAAAAGAAAAATGTCCCTAGTCTGGTTCTCACAAGGTTCCTGGATAGGCCTGAAGCATTTCTGTGATTTTTATCCTTAAAATGAAAGCAACTTTACTGCTTTACCTACAGCTGACTTTCACCAGCTTGATGACAAGACTAAAGAACATGATGGAGAACCCAGCCTGGAGGGGGCTGCTGTTTGCTTGTGTCTATGCAGTGAGAGGGCCTGAATGTGAAATTTGCCTTCTCCTCTCATTTTATAGCCGTGCTGATAAGCAGGTTTCACACTCCCCACACAACATGCAAAGTGTTCTGTCCCCACACAGCTCACCAACAGCACCAAAGAAAGCACAGCTACAACTGACGCCCTAACATGACGTAACAACACAACTCTTTTAGATGCTACACCCTTAAGCATGACAGAGGAGCACAGTTCAACCAAGTAAGAAGCCCTTGCAAAGCAGCAAATCACATAGGCCAGGAATAATAAATACACTGACTGACTTCATGTGGTCTTCAGTATTCCTCCTTGGCAACTAACAGGGTCTGACTCAGTTTTTAACGAGATACCACAGCTTCCTCTCCAGCTATACAGCCAATGTTTCAAGTCTGTTTCCTTGTTTCACAACAGTTTCATGGGCAGTTTTCTCTGCAGCACAGAAGCAGGTTTCTTATACTCAGTCCTAACTCCCTCCCACCCTTCCACTCATCCATGTTTTCTCACATTTGGAGGGTTTTTTTCCCCCTCTTTTCAACACTGTCTTCAGCAAATATCTGAATGTGATTGCTTGGGTGGTAATTCAACAGGGTGATCAAACCTGGCAGAACAGAAAACTCTGCAGCAGCAAGGTGCCACTAGCTCCCACATTCCTGTGGATTTTGAGAACCTTTAAACAGATTGTCTGCCTCAGTGGTCTCCAAAGTGGGGTGTGAGCAAGGCAATCCATCGTGGTGCAGGATGAAAATATTTTTGCACCATGAATAAAATGAAAAAACAAAAATATTGTTTATTTTATCCTTACCTCGTTCTTTTTTAATTTCTATTTTTATGCATCTTTTATAATGTACATAATAGATAATTGTGGAAGAATGTATATATAATTTATAAATAAATATACATAATTTGGGTGTGTATGTTCAAAATAATTTACTGACGAGGTGCACAATCAAAAAAGTTTGGAGACCACTGATCTCCAACACAATAAACAGAAACCAGTATGAATGCCCATAGTTACACCACTTAATTAAGGGCTGTATGACAGACAAAACAACATTTTTCCTTTTCCTTTGAGGAAAGGAAAATTGTTTTCAGACAATCTGCAAGCTTCATTTCTTACCAAACAAAAGTGCTTTGATACACACTGGTCTAGAGTACACATTTTCTAAAAGCTTTTTAAATTTGCTTTTTAAACATTTAAGTCAGATAAAAAATTTCAAAACAAATTTCTGGTGACTTGGTTAATAAATTTGGAAACAAAACCTTTCACAGAATCGTAGTATCTCGAGTTGGAAGGGACCCATGTGGATCATTAAGTCCAACTCCTTGCTCCTCTCAGGACTAGCTAAAACTAAACTACGTAACTTAAGAGTGTCACCCAGATGGTCCTTGAACTCTGACAGGCTTGGTGCTGTGACCACTTCCCCAGGGAGCCTGTTCCAGTGACTGGTCACCACCCTCTCAGTGAAGAATGTTTTCCTAATGCCCAGTCTGAACCTCTCCTGACACAGCTTCATGCCATTGCCTCATGTCCTATTGCTGACCACCAGAGAGAGGAGATCAGTACCTCCCCCTCCACTGCCCTCCTTGAGGAAGCTGTAGACTGTAACGAGGTCACCCCTTTTGTTTCACAAATAGCAAACCAATTTCTTTTCATCCATTCCTTTCTTCCACCACCCAGGTTATTTGCTGTCACTGACCTAATTTTGCAGCCCTCCAAAGCTTTGTTTCTTCACAGATGTTTTATTTGTCAAATCCTTTTAAAGTAGCTACGTTCTCTGTAGAAGAGCCAGCACTGCCAAAAGCTTCAGGGCTGGGAAACCAGTTCATGCCCTCTACCAGCCAGCTCATTCTCAGTTAAATTACAGCTGTGGTACAGCTCAAAGTGCAGCAAAGCTTTATGGTGTGAGAAAGTAACAGCTTCATGCAACACCTATTTCGCACACACATCTCAGCCTGTCCTGCTCCTCCAACAGCTCCTCCAAGCCCCTTTTCCCATCCCCTGCCCTTCCTTCTCCCTCTGAAACCACTGCTAACCAGCATCCCATCCCCTCCAGTATGTCAGCCCAGTGCTTATCAAAGCCCTTTATGATCAGATATAATCTATTAGTCCAGCAGAAGATCAGTCAAATTTTTCTGCTGCGTCAGTTTCCTGCCACATGAGGTAGTTAAACTGGCTCATACAGGGGTGTGAAGAACAACAGAACTAGTCCAAATAGCAAGACCTCTACTTTTAGTGATAGTAAGTAGTCAGATTGGCTCAAGCCATCCTACAAATTATAGTCTGCAAGGAACAATTTTCACCCACCCACAGGAAGACAGAGCTCCCTAGAGTCACAGCAAAGCACAACTGAACTACCATAAATTACAGCAAGTCTGTCAAACCCAGGTAAGCCGACTGCTCTCATTAGATGGATTCAAAGTTCAACAACAGTTCTCAGTATCATCTTAATCTGTGTAAACTTGGCAGCCACACCAGCAATGAGAAAGTTTTATTACATATTTACCTACAGTTTTACTTCTGAAAAATCTTAGGCAACTGCAGGGAAATTCTTCCTAAGCAGGTCATGCACTTCATCTATATCCCTTTGGAACTGGGAAATTCATTATTATGGAGGACAACTGATTTCACTTCCCCATGCTGCCACTGAATCTGCTAGGTTGGGGAAATTACTTCTACCTCTACCACCTGGCTGTCACAAAGACCAAAGACTTTGAAATATAGCACTATGCTAGAGCTTCAACTATTCTGCCTTCCTGTTTCACGGATAGGAACTTTGGATTTTCTACAGATAAGCACTCAGCAGGATTTTCTGCAATACTACCAGGCGCTTTGGAAGCCAAACTTAAGAGTGTAGAGATTGCTGTCTTGAAGAGGGCTTGACCTTTTTGTGTTCTTTGCTAGGACTTGAGATATCTCAGTAAGACTTTTCACAATAAACTAAAGGTCAATGCTCTCAGCTCCAAACCTATGATCTTTAACACTTCTTGAGCATGAAACTAATTAGTAACAGGAGTGAAACCAGTTAGCATTCCACGGAATTCCTCCACTCTAGAAAAATACTACAGCAACAGTATTCCAGACAGGATGGATGACAGACCAATGTAACCCCTTGCCTGTACAGTTTATTAAAAGACAGACCTTATATTCTTCTGTTATCAGATTTGGGACAGGACTAATCTCAGTTTTGATATTCTCCATGTTGATGTACTCCAGGAAGCAGCTGTGGGACCTCACAGATGCTCTGGTCTGCACACATACCATAGAAAATGGACTGAGAGGGCAAAAGAGCCTTGGAGATAAGTAAATGGAGGCCTGTTATGCCCCCACAGTAAATGCAGTGTATAGAACTGATGACTGAGTAAAGGTTCTAACTCATGGAACGTGAAAAATTGTTGTGAAACATTGCATCTTGCAGCCTGAATTTCACCAATATCTGTAAGATGTAGTGTTGATCAACTATTCTCTCATACAAACTAATAACCAGTTTCCTCATTCCATGTGTCAGCCCTTCGGCCCACTGGTCTGTTTATTTAGAAGAGCTTTCCCAGCATGTCCAGGTAGGTTTAAAAAAATAGCAAACCACAAGAAAAAGCAAAAATTAAGTAAATTCTGTATTTTCGAAGAAAAACACAAGCTGCACACCTAAGCAATAAAAAAACCAAACTTCAGTCTTATACAGTATCTCTCTACTTTGATATAACGTTCAACAGCATTCAGAATTAACAAGGTAGAACTCCAGTTCATAAATCTACTGACACAAAAACATAGGGCTTACTGACACCTCAGCCTTTAAGGCATGGAATAAAGTAAGAGTGGAAGCATGAGCAAGAGATGTGTTATTAATGAATGTTAATAACATTTAACCCCCCAGTTTTAAACTGGCTAAATCAGCCAGTCTTCTGAACACTTCTGTCACGAACATCTGGTTCCCTAGCACACGTCACACGTGCCCCTTCCCTCCTAATAATTCTCACTCTGTTTTCTACTTAAGCAAAAAGCGGTCAGGTCTGACACAGCCTGGCCCAGCACTGCCACTCCCCACCTCTGTCCCACTCTGCAGACTCTCCCAAGACACAAGAGACACTCTCACATACCGACCTTCTTTACTGCAGCTGGGAGAGTTGCTCAGGTGCTCCTCAGTAGCATCTTCTGCATCCTGGGTCACTTCTGCAAGGACAAGAGCCAATACTCAGACAATCCTGGAGCTTAGAATACTCCTTCTCTCTGGCCCAGACAGATCAAAAGTAATCTGATTGAGAGCTGGGCCATCTGTCCCGCATCAACAGTGGCCCTGACCAACACCCCTGCCCCCATGGAGCCATCATATAATGGCTCCTCTCTCTTCTCCATACCCAACTCTGCACTGTCCTCATGATCCCTTCCAAACCCTGCAAAGGCCAAGCACAGAAGGCACTCAGCACCCATGGTGCCACCCGTAACTTCACATCAAGAAGTGTTAGGCAAGTCACAATGAACAAAGACTGCTCAATACCACAGGCACTTACCTCCTCCTTTTACACCATGGTCATCTGCATGCTTGGCCACCAAGCTGCTGTTCTCCTTTTTAAAGATGCCTGAAGAGAGATCAGAAGACAACTATAGTCCCTTGCCTTGCTCAGCTTCAAGGTACCAGCTATTGCCTAAGAGTGAGTCACCAGCTACAACTCAATATGTTGCCAACATCATCAGCTAACACCAGAAAGCCAGTACCTTTCCCCCAGCACACACCACAGAATAGGCACTCACCTTCCTCAGTTACACCATCATCAATCATCAGGGTGCTGTTCTGCATGGCAGAGAGTTCTGAAAAAGAGATCACAGGAGAGCTGCAGTCCTCCAGAGTGTATCTCACTGCTTAACTTCACAGTGATATCAGTCATTGCTTAGAGATGAGTCACCAGCTACAATTCATAAGACACAGAATCACTCAGGTTCACTCGGGAAGGGAACCCAGGAAGTGTCTAATTCAACATCGTTTAATCCAAAAAGGTTGTCAACTTGGTCAACTGCAATTTATGCTTATTCCCATCTTTCTTCTGTGACCAGAAACATGTTCCAAAAAGACTTGCCCCACAGTTCTCCCAGGGATGAAAGCGAGTCTGGACAACCTGTAGCTCCACAGGTGAACCTGTCAGCCTTGTTGCAAGATAGCTGCAATGTTTCCCTTCTTCCAGTTGTCACATCACAGATCGTCGCCAGCATGACTTTTGAAGGTGATAAAGAACATACAATGGCATCTGCTAGCTCTTGTAGTAACACTTGTATCAGATCCCATGGACTGGTTTGGGTCAAGGTTTCTCCAGAAATCCCTGATCTGATCCTCTTCCATTACTAGCAGATGCTGTCCTCCCTGAGCCTGCCTCTAGACAGAAACGCCACAGCGACTGTCAAGATGAAGGCAAAGGTAGCACTCGGTATCTCAGCTTTATCTGTATCTGATATCAGAGAATCAGATAATGGTTAACTTTGGAAGGAGCCTCTGGAAGTCACCTTGTCCAATCCCCCTGCTCAAGCAAATGAACCTAGAGAAGGCTGCCCAGGACCATGTCCAGACAGCTTTTGAATATCTCCAAGAATGAAGACTCCACAGTTTCTCTGGGCAATGTGTTCCAGTGGCCAGTCACCCTTGCAGCAGATCCTCTTACATTTTAGATTACGTCCATTGCCTCTTGTCCTGTCACTGGGCTCCCACTGAGATAAGCATGGCTACCTCTTCTTCATTTGCTCCTACCAGGTATTTATACACATTTATGAGATCTCCCTGAGCCTTCTCTTCTCCAGACTGAAGAGTCCCAGCTCTCTCAGCCTTTCCTCATATAAAAGAGGATTATCACAGAATCATACAATGGTTGAGGTTGGAAGGGAACCTTAGAAGTCATCTTGTCCTATGCCCCTGCTCAAGCAGGCTGAACTTCAGCAGGCTGCCCAGGACCACATCCAGTCCCTTAATCATCTTCATGGCCCTTTGCTGGATTCTCTCAAGTAGCTCCTTATGTCCCTTGTACTGGGGAGCCCAGAACAGGACTCCAGGTGTGGCCTCAGCAGCGCTGGCAACATTCCTCCTCCTGCAGCTCAAGACACTAATAGCCTTCTTTGCTGCAAGGGCACATTGTTGGTTCATGCCTATCTTCTTGTCCTCCAGGACCCCCAGGACCTTTGCTAAAAAGCTGCTTTTCTGGCTGATTGGCCCCCAGCATATACTGGGGCATGCGGTTATTACTCCCCAGGTCAGGATTTTGCACTTCATAGAATCACAGAATGGTCTGGGTTAGAAGGGACCTCAAAGATCAACCAGTTCCAACCCCCCTGCCATGAACAGGGACACCTTCTATTAGGCCAGGTTGCTCAAAGCAACCTTTTGTTGAACTGCATGAGGTTCCTGCCAGCATGTTTCTTCAGTCTGTCAAAGTCCCTCTGGATGGCAACATATCCCTTCAGTGTGTCAGCCAGCGGTCACAGTTTTGTATCATCAGCAAGCTTGCTGAAGGCATAATCTGCCCCATCATTCAGATCATTAATGAAGACAAAGAGGACTGGACCCAGTATTGAACCCTGGGCTGCACCACTAGGTTGAAACTAGATGATCTTTAAGGTCCCTTCCAACCCAAACCATTCTATGATACCGGCCTCCAACTAGAATTCATACCAGTGATCATAACCCTTTGATCTCAGCCATTAAGCCAGTTTTCAGCCCACCTCACTGTCTGCTCATCTAGCCTGTACTTCAACAGCACCAGGAAACACTAAATCAATCCCCTGTTCAGCAACAGGCCCACGTTTTGCTTGTTTCCTTTACAGATAACCTAGCAGCAGAAGCTGCTATCATTGTCTTGGCCATCCCATAGTGGTTTTAAGGCTCCCTAAAAGCCTCGACTTTCTGGACACCATCCTCACCTGCCCGGGCAGCGTTCCCAAATTCCTCTGTTGTAGCCTGCCCTCCACATCTCGTATAAGAAATTTTTGCACTGGAGCCCTGTCAGGAGCTCCCTCCTCAGCCAAACTGATCTCCTGATTTGACTGCCTGTTTTCCAGACCATCACAATGGCCTGCGTTCATGCTTGGAGAAAGTCCTCCTTAGAGGCCTGATGGCTCTCTTGAGCTCCTTTGTTTTTCAGAACTGTCTCCCACAAGATCCTGCCTACCAGCTTCCTGAGTAAGTGGAAATCTGCTCTCCAAAAGCGCAGGGCCCGTACTCTGATGCTTACCTTCCTCACTCATCTCAGGGTCTGGAGCTGTTCCTTGGTCACTACAGCCAAGGCCATTCGTGACCACATCTCAGATACAGCTGCACATCAGCCCTTGCTGGTGCATCTGGTAACCTGTGTGAGGAAGTTGTCCCTGGTGCTGCCCAGAAATCTTCCTGACTGCTGGAATTGCTGTGTTGCCTCTCCAGCAGATATCAGGGAGGTTAAACACAGACAGACACTCACACAGAGTACTGACGTCCACCAGAGACAAAGGGCAGCCTGACTCCATTTCACAGAACAGCAATCTCTCCAAAACAAGCTTTTGGCAAAGCTTCCTCTTGGTCACACCAACTCTTGTTCTTCAATTAAGTGCTTCATGTGCACACACTGTGGGACTAGAGATCCCCTTCCAGGCATCTCCCAACAGGCAGCATTAACCAGAAGACCAGAAGCCAGCACTTCAGCAGGGACTGCCACTTGACCAGTATTCTCAACTCACTCTGAATAGGATTTTTTTTATTTATTTATTTTTTTAAACTCCAATGATCTCCAAAACCCACGTCCTTCCAGTTCGTATGCTCTGCTGGGGTTATTTCCAAGAGTGGTAAAAAAAGCATGACTTGTTCTGCCCTTAACTACAGCCTGAAAGCTGGTTAACTCTGCTCCTGGAACTCCTGCACGGAGAACAGGTATTCAGCACAATCCCCTCCAGTACCTCCACTGAGCAGCATTACACAGAAGCTGCTCTGAGCCTTCAGCTCCAAGGGACCCCGGCCAGTTTGCCCACCGGGTCATTAGCACTGACTGCTCCATACAACAGGCACTTACCTTCCTGACTGACACCGTTGTTAACTGTCTGCTTGTCCTTCAGGGCACTGTCCTCCTCCTTCAATTCTTTGTCTGAAGAGAGATCAGAGAAGAGCTACAGTCCCTCAGGAGCACACCCCTTTGCTTCTTCCCCCCACCAGGACAGGTCATTGCTCTGTGCTGTCCAGAGGTCAGAAGCTCACATTCTCCTCTGCAACTGTTATGTACCACTGTCCTACCAGCAGAAGTCCTATTGAGATTTGCTTTGTACACACATTTCAGAGAACATCAGAACCTTGCTTACTGTTTTGCATCTCTACAGCAAGGATTACACGCTACCTAGGTGCTGCAGGGTGTACTGTGCAAAGGTGCACTGACTCCTCTTCCTGGGATAATGTATTTTATTTTGCTTCTCTTTCATTTGTCCGATCTGACAACCTTTATCTAGGAACCTGTTTCTCTTTTGCCTAAACTGTACATTTCCGCCTTTTCTTCCTTAACACAGGCGTGAAATAAACCTCCTTCTCCTATATCCATGTCTATGTGTGCAGAAATAGTTACTCAAGCGATAAGACAATCCTACAGTGCACCACCCCATTGCCATCACACAAGCCCTATTTCTTCGGGTGAGGAAAGCTTTTCTACACCCACTACAATTCATGCAGGAAGAATAAGCAGCAAAATCCAGAGGCTTCTGGGTTTCCTTTTCCTTATCATCATTATTAGTGATTTTTCCCTTAATCAGAAAAAACCTCTGCCTTCTCCAACCCTCTTACTTATCAGCCACTTGTGGAAAATGGTGGAAGAGTTAGTGAGAAAATGAATCAACAGTGCAGTGCTCTGGCCAAAAAAAACTCATTTTTTTGCCAACTTAAACTATAGTGTTCATGTTTCACTATCCCTCTGATATAAAAAGAAATTATAGGAAAAAATTCAGGTCCCAGAATTTCCCTGAAATTTACACTGGTTGTACTAAGAAAACAAAAGTGGGGCTTTGCTTAGCTGCCTGATGAATGCAGTCAAAATACTTTCCTAGAGCATAAAGCAAGTGGAAGATATTGCATCCAGGAGTGGTGCTTCTTTAAGGAAAGAAGCCTGCAGTATCCCAAATTAGCATTTTGCAAGCTTGTAAGCATCCCATCTCTAAACTGGTGTGTTGAGGTTCAGACCTATTTGCCATTAATACAAACAAAGCTTTGAAGACACAGCATTTAATTATATCAGGTCCTGCTTGAAGGTTTCTTTCCAGCTGAAAGCAAAGATCACCCACCCAGAGCAACATACTGTAAAAATGTCCTTGCACTCTTTTGCATGCAAATAAAAGGTAATACTAGACAAAAGGGCAATTTACTTATTTACAATAAAAAGGAGTTCCCTCATACATGCTTAGCTCTTTCCACACATGGTGAAGTGATCTGCAAACACAGCACACAGCTTCATTCTCATCATATCAAGAAGGAAGCTGAAGACCCAGGACGGTATTTGCCCAGTGCTGTTTAGCAAACACAAGGATCCAGGTCCTTTTGACTTCTCCTCTAGTGATCTACCCATCAACATTTACCGTTCCTAAGGCAACAGGTCTTTCTAGGCCAACAGAGGAATGGTAATCTCTACATTGAGAATATGCTAATATGTTTGGGACTGCAAAAAGCCATGTGCAAAATTAATTGCCCCCTTCACGTTCCCCTGCTTTAGGGCATCATCTCACTTGTTACCTGCTTCAGGCTTTTCATTCTCATAATCAACAGCTTGTGAAGGTGCAGCTGCAAGCAAAGATAAATCCTTTTTAGAAATGCATATGGAGGTAGCACAACTGTCTGCAAAGCACACAACACAGCTTTAAAAATACAGTTTCATAGTAACACTCTTAGCAGACACTCTTGAGAACCAGTATCTTACATTACTTTACTGAAGGACTCACAATTAATTTCAACTCCAACTTCGCCCCAGCAACTACTTAAGGTCCCAGACCATAACCACTATTATCTACAGTTGTGCCTACAGCTTTACAAAAACCTTTCTGAAGTGGGTTTACTTAAGGTGATAAAACTGCACAGATTTTCCATAAGAAGACAGAGACAGCTGAGAAGAGAATCCTCACCTCCTTTCTTTACTTCGTCTATGTGGTACATTGTGACTTTAAATCCTTTCTCTTTGCAGACATTAAAGAATCTCTAATAGAAACATGGACCATTCTAAAGTAAATGCAAGTGCAGTAGCAAAAGGGGGTTTTTGTTGTGGGTTTCCCCCCAATCCTTCTCCTTTTTTCACTTTCAAATCCATCAGTAGTCTCTAGACTTCAGTAGTCTCTGAACCATAAGCTAGAACCACAGCTTTCGGGAGGAAAAAACCCCCAACAAACCCAACAACAAAAAAACCCAAACCCCTGCTTTCATACTACTGTCTCCCTACCTGTGGCATCTTTTCCAGTCCCATCACCAAGGAGCTCATCCTGGTTTTTTAGCCTCCAGACCCATAAAAAAAACACATTAAGAAATTTCAGAAATTAAAGAACAACTTAAGAAATTAAACATACAGAAAAACTCTGCAAAGGTGGCACAGTAGTGTGCAATCCAAGAAACATTCTGCTCCAGCCTTGTGCTAACTCCAGCAGCTCATGTAAGACACCAGTATCCCACATGAAGCCACAGCTAGTTCAACACCACAACACTCTAACAGGGCATTGAGCTCACATCTGATGGTGGGAGCTTTGGTCATTCCTCACTGAAACTGTATTTTTTCCAGTGACCTCCACAATAAAGTATTTTTAAAAAGAGTCTTCCCCAGATCCCTCTTATCTGCTTGACTGTCTAGGGGCTGATTTAGTTCAGCTTGCAAAAGTTACCAGGACCACCATGGTCTGCAAGACATATACACATTAAAGGTGGAACACGTTAGCTTTATTCACCCTTGTGAAAGGAGCACAGACTAAAGGAGTTGTCTCCTTCCTTAGCTGCTCACTGTACAGAGTGATTCCCACACCTGAACACACAGATTCACAAGCCAGAGAACTGAGTAATCTTGCTGCGTATTATAGAGGAAAAAAACAAAACAGTATTAGAATAGACAGCAGAGATCTGGACAGAAAGACAGGAATGAAGACAGCCCTGAGAATCTGTACTGCCTGCAGAAGGGCATTATGTAAAGAAACCATGGGTGGGCAGCAGACTGGTAACTAATGCAAAGAGGCCATCTCAGGCCATTCACTGTCACTAACTCTGCCAGACCCACAACACATCCTTTAAGTGCAGGTCCCTATGATCAACCTCAACTGAGACTTTGAGGTCACACGGGCACACATCGTAAATCAACTCAAAAGCTTACACACTGCCAAAAAGGAAAAAGCACATCAGACTCCTTGCTCCAACCAACAGGAGATGTTTAAAAGCATCTACCCCCCAATCCAGGTTTCTTACCTCTGAGTTAGGCTGTTCTTGGCTGTCCACAGAGCAAAGTAGCTGATGTTCTCCTGTAACAAAATGTATTTATTTTAGAAAGTATGTATTAACGGCCTGGAAAAAAATGGGCACTCTGCTAAACAACTAAGGTCTGAAAGAAAACTCACTCCTTTACCTCTCCAGTGAAAGACTATACTGCCACAGAGAAAAAAATATACAAGCCAAATTAAAGCAATAGTCTGATTTCCACACACTTGTGACACTCTGCCTCTCTTACCTGAGCCACGCACTGGACTGTTCTTCTGAGTAGCTCTTCGTGTTCCACATTTAGTTCTACCTGCATCAAAACAAATAGAATATCCGGAAAAATTACTCAGAAATAAAGTTCTGTGCCTCTGGAAACTAGCTGACATCTTCTATCCATTCCATACCCACCCCACCCTCAACGCCCCTCCCCTCAAAAAAAAAATCACTGAGGACATGTAACTGAACACTTGACTTGGAGAAAAAAGGAGTGAAAAGTCATTTGGCAGTAAAGACAAACAGTGAAAGATCAACAGAATGGGCCTCCTGCAACAAGTCAGAACACATCTAGCAAAATCTAAAGCAGAGCTTAGCAGTTCCTGACTCTGAGTCTTGTACTTAAATCAGCAAATCACATCTTCTGTCTGATTATACTCATGCAGTACTTATCCTACTGAGGTACAAGGTCAAGCCTTTGCTGTTTCAAGAGAAGTACGTGAGTTGTTTCAGGTCTAACTAATGGCCAGTTATAAGTGACATTCTTCATATGCTGATACCCAGCATAGTGTTGTTCAACATCACCAACACAGATAAGGGGACAGAAGGTACCCTCAAAGTCTGCAGATAACATCAAACTGGGCAGAGTAGGGGATATGCTAGAGGGCAGGGTTACCACTCAGAGACTTCAACAACTTAGAGGAACGTGCTGGCAGAAAATAAGTGATGTTCAAAGGCAAACGAAGTCCTGCACCTCTTGAAATCACCCCTTGGAGCAGTACAGACTAAGCTCTGCCTAGCTAGAAAAAAGCTCTGCAGAAAAGGAGCTGGAAGCCCTGATGGATGAGGAGTTGAACTTCAGTCAGAAATGTGCCCTTGCAGCAGAAACCTACCAGATATTGGGCTGTGTTAGTAGAAGCATAGTTAGCACATTAAGAGAAATAATTCTTCACATCTATTAAGGATTTGTGACACCACCTGTTGCATACTGTGTCTAGTTTTGGGCTCCCAATTAATGAAAAAACACTAATATTCTGAAGCTAGTACAGCAAATGTCCACCAAGATGTTTAGGGGCAGGGGCTATGCAAGGATAGGCTGAGAAAATTTGTTCAGCCTGAAGAAAAAGAAGGCTAAGGCCATGGCTAACTACAGCCTACAACTAACTTACACAGAAAACAAAGGAAACTCCTTTCAGAAGTACAGAACAAAAGGACAGGAGGCGATAGCTGCATGTTGCAAAAGGGCAATCCATAACAGAAATAAGGAAAAAATCCTTCCCCACAAGGGTGATTCAGCACTGGACCGCATGCTGAAAGAGGCTGAGGAACTTCCATCCTTGGAAATATTAAAAATTTGACTGACAAGGCCCTGAGCAACCTGATCTAGCTTTGAAGTTGGTCCTGCTTAGAGTGGAAAGTTCCTAGCCAGTTTATTCTATGATTCCATGCCAACAGAAATTAAATGGAGAATGACCAGGAAAGCATAAGGCCCACATGCAACATACATCTATGTATGCTCTGATCAGAGCCTCCCTCTAGAATACCATCAGTCAGTCCTTCCCAGACAGGAGGTACATCCCGTGCTCTTCACTCTGCAGCCACCATCAAGCACTGACCCCACCAGGAAGCCAACAAGAATTTTCCATGCAGAGCACTCTTAGGATGAAGCCATGCATTTCTGTTTGGGACTCTCTCAGACATAAAGAGAAGAGATGGTGTGCATGTCTCTTTCCAGCCAGAATGCAATCTGACGTATTGACCTAAAAAGGTGGCAGCAAGCGATGCACAGTGGTAACTTACATTTAACATTTCCAAATAAACTGTCAGATTTACAAAAATGATACTCGAATTCACTGTAGGGATGGATGAAGAAAAAAATCTAGAACTCCAAGATGACGGCAGTACAGGCTGACAGGAGGCACAGAAGTCCCTATGTATTAATTGAGCACACTGAGTTGTCAGATTAAACTCAGCATAAGGTACTCAACAGGCCCTGGTAAGAGCCTGTCCCAACAATAAATCTGATCTTGAGGTCAGCTTCACAATCTCTCAAAAAAGGCAGTGAAAGCACAGGCAGGTAGGAATGGGAGAGGCCACAGATACTTGGAAGGTACAAACACCCAGTCTGAAGGAGAAATATACAAATACAGACTATGGTATTTCCCAGTACACAGATCCCAGTATCTAAGTACAACAAAAGTTCAGTGTATTATTTCCTTCAAATCTATTAGCCTTTGCTTAAGTTGTACTCATTTCTACTACTGTATTTACAATACATCCCACGATCAGAAACTTTCATACATTCTACAGAACCTTAGATCAGCATAATCTTGAAGCATGTTAAGCTCAACTAGGAAATGCTTTACATACCTCTACTGTACAGGTATCCTAGTACTCCTACAACTATCAAGGAAACAAAAGCTGCAATAAGACCACCTCTACTTCTTTTGAGATAGCTGTCACCTTTAAAAAATAAAATAAACAATGATAAGTTAGTTAAAAAGCAACTGTGGGATACACTACTTCAGTAGAAATACAACCCTGAGTATGTTTTCTAGCTATTTGTTTTTTAAAAGTAACCTCAATAAACGAATGCACCAGAGGAAGTTATTAGCAAAGCCCTAAGCCAGCTCCAGGAAAGCTGCATGGTAAGTGCCTTAGCTCAGTGAAGGCACATCACCACCTGAAAGGCAACGGCTATTCCGGTTTTTGGCATATGAAAGGCCAAGCCAGATCTGAGCCAGATTAAATTTTGGCAGATTTCTTGTATTGGGTTTGAATGGCAAGGCTTTGGTAGCAGGGAGGCTGCAGTGGTGGCTTCCATGAGAAACTGTCCCCATGTCAGACAGTCAATGCCAGCCGGCTCCAAGACAGACCCGCTGCTGGCCAAGCCCATCAGTGATGGTGGCAGCACCTCTGCAATAATGTATCTAAGAAAGGGTAAAAACCGCTGCACAGCAACAGTTGGGAGAGAGAAGTGAGAATACATGAGAGCAACAACCCTGCAGACACCAAGGTCAGTGAAGAAGGAGGGGGAGGAGGTGCTCCAGGCGCCGGAGCAGAGATTCCCCTGCAGCCTGTGGTGCAGACCATGATGAGGCAGGCTGTCCCCCTGCAGCCCATGGAGATCCATGGTGGAGCAGATGACCACCTGTAGCCCGTGGAGGACCCCACACCAGAGCAGGTGGATGCCCAAAGGAGGCTGTGACCCCGTGGGAAGCCTGCACTGGAGCAAGTTCCTGTCAGGACTTGTGACCCCATGGAGAGAGGAGCCCAGGCCAGAGCAGGTTTGCTGGCAGGACTTGTGGCCCCATGAGGAACCCACGCTGGAGCAGTCCCTCCCTGAAGGACTGCACCCCATGGAAAGGACCCACACTGGAACAGTTCATGAAGAACTGCAGCCCACTGGAAAGACTCATGTTAGAGAAGTTCACAGAGAACTGTTCCCCCATGGGCGAGACCCCACACTGGAGCAGGGGAGGAAGGAGCAGTGGAGACAACATGTGATGAACTGACCTCAAGCCCCACTCCCCACCCCCCTGTGCAGCTCAGGGGGACGAGGTAGAAAAATCAAGAGTAAAAGTTAAGCCTGGGAAGAAGGGAGGGGTAGTGTGAAGGTGTTTTTGATTTGTTCTTGTTTCCACTATCCTACTCTGATTTCAATTGGCAATACATTAAATTAACTTTCCCCAAGTCAAGTTTGTTTTGCCTGTGACGGTAACTGCTGAGTGATCTCCCTGTCCTTATCTCAACCCATGAGGCTTTCATCATATTTACGCCCTCACCCTATTGAGGAGGGGAGTGACAGAGGAGCTTGACAGGCACCTAGCAGTCAGTCAAGGTCAACCCACCACATGTCTCATTTCTAACAAATCTCTAACACCTAATTCCAGTGAAGGAGGAAGACTTCTATACTGGCAAACCATGAAAATTACTTTTGCACAGAAGTGGAAAATTTGTCAGGTAGGGACTGCCTTACACCACCCACAAATAAGATGGTTCCAAATGTGTTCTCATCCTCTGGTTTTGCTTTGGTTTGTTTTTGTTTTGTTTTTAAACAGCAAGCCTCAAGCTGACTGGAAGCTCAGCTGAAGCTGTCCAGCTGTCCCCAAGCAGTAAGCAACAGCAGGAAAACTGTCTTTTCTCATTTTTATACCTCCTTTTTATCTCTGTCTGTGAAGAAGGAAAAGTAGTATGTTCACTGACTCATGCACCCACAAGATGAGAAATTATTTTATCTAATGACTGCTAGATGACTCACTTGAAATGACTGAATAGTTTCATTCCAGTTCGTGGAAAGCAATACAAAGAGCACAATAGTCATTAGCATTAATTCCACAGTGCAAGAAGGTTCAAAAGAGATCTTCTCAGCGTGTCTCCCTCTTTATTATTACTCATTTCAAGTCACAGCTGAAGGTTTTATTCTGTTGAGATCCCTGCAAAAAGTATCTTTCTGGTGGAGCAAACTGTCAACATCATACCTTTCACCAACCTTAAACACACCTTTAACAGACAAATTGCTCCTGGTGCTTTTTACTCTTTAAATTTAAGTTCCTGAGAAGCCAGTAGAAATCTTACAAAGCCCATGCTGCTTCCCAGCCCAGCAGACTTGCATATACAACCTGACCCATTCATTACCTTCTTTATCAGGAAAGCATTGAGACAAAGAGATTTCAGAGCTGTTTTCCGTTTGAGAGAATTTAATGAAACATGTAGCTTTCTCAGAAGCATCAACACTGTTCTTGGGGACTAAAACTTCCTGGGTCTGATAAGCGACTGGTATGCTACTGAACTTCCAAGTGTAATTCAGAGGCTTCTGGAAATCAGCTGTACATTTTAACACCAGGTCATCACCACTGATGTTGCAACTTATTTCAGGTTCTGGAGGGGAAGCTAAAAGGAGAGAAAATGTTCTGTTTTACTTTGGTTATAAACTGTCTTGAATTTTAGCAAGAAACAAGGGCTGAAGCAACAAAAGCAGCTGGTAAAAGTGTAAGGTGTGCATGTGTGTGTGTGCAAGTATGCGTGAGAAGAGTGAATTTCTAATAGTGACCCTGTTTGTGGTTCTTCAGTGTGTAGTTTGAGACTCCTCATGGTTCATTGTCAATAGGACTAATACACACACTGCTCAAATGTATTTCCCAAAGACTACTAGTGAAGCTGCGTAGATCTGCACAAGATGATGCCACAGATATTCAAAGAAGTCTATTTTGCCTGCAGAAGCATCTTTAGAAGATACATAATGCCTGGGATAACTTGGTCAGCTTGCTCAAAGAGTTTGGTCATCTACCTGAAAGTAAAGTGTGCCATCTATACACAGTCTAGAAGTCATTCCAAGGCGAGTAATGATGGGAACGCAAATTAGATGCCATCTTTGAAAATTTGTTTACAGTGCCTAAGCAACTTAACAATAGAGCCGAAGAACAGTCCCCCTCTGTTTCTGTCCCCTTCCCTGACAAATAAACAATCCCCTTTCTTAGCCTTCTTAAAGGGAAGAAAATGGTGCAAGTTCTTTTTGCAGTTCTTACACTACTTACCTAACACAGCAAGTATGAAGGTTAAGGCATGACTTTTTCTCACAGAATCCACATACTGTAACATGTATGTGCCAGTATCATTGTTCTCCAAGTCAAATATAGTCAAGTGCCCATTCTCCTCGTTAAGCAAGCCTCTGTTACGGAGAGAATTAAAATATGTTGATTTGTTCTGCCCTTCCCATTCAGCCACTTTATCCTTGTTTTTTGTCCAAATAATTTCCACTATGTTTTGGTTTATTTTTACTGGAAAAGTAAAATTTTCTCCCACGATGCCAAACACGTCCTCACAGTGGATGTGCCCTACAAGGAAAAAAAAGAAAAAGTTAATTTAACAGTTGTTTTATAAACTATTGCTTCACTAATACTCTATGTGCTTTCAGATACATTCAAATTTGGGGTAGAAGCACATCACAATTTTTCAAAGTAAGGCATGTGCCTTACTTTGCCTCGGAAGATCATCCAGTCCAATCCCCCTGCCAGAGCAGGAACCTAAATGAGATCACACAGGAAGGCATCCAGGTGGATCTTGAATGTCTCCAGAGAAGGAGACTCCATACCCTCCCCAGGCAGCCTGTTCCAGTGCTCTGGCACCTTCACAGGAAAGAAGTTCCTTCTCAAGTTTAAGTGGAACCTCCTGTGTTCCAGCTCACACCCACTGCCCCTTGTCCTACCATTGGGCATCACTGAGAAGAGCCTGGCTCCATCCTCCTGACATTCACCCTTAACATATTTATAAACATTAATGAGGTCTCCCCTCAGTCTCCTCTTTTTCAAGCTAAAGAGCCCCAGCTCCCTCAGCCTTTCCTCAGGAGGGAGATGCTCCACTCCCTTAATCATCTTGGTGACTCTGCACTGGACTCTCTCAAGCAGTTCCCTGTCCTTCTTGAACTGTGGGGCCCAGAACTGGACACAATATTCCAGATGCGGCCTCACCAGGGCAGAGTAGAGGGGGAGGAGAACCTCTCTCGGCCTACTAACCACACCCCTTCTAATGCACCCCAGGATGCCATTGGCCTTCCTGGCCACAAGGGCACAGTGCTGGCTCATGGTCATCCTGCTGCCCACCAGGACTCCCAGATCCCTTTCCCCTACACTGCTCTCTAGTAAATCATTTCCCAGCCTATACTGGAACCTAGAGTTGTTCCTGCCCAGATGCAACACCCTACACTTGCCCTTATTATATTTCGTTAAGTTTTTCTCTGCAATTAAACTGCAATTTTCACAACACGAATATTCACGGTTAGTAAAAAGCACACTTCTGACACTAAATTGCCACTCAGTTCGAAGTACCTGCTCTGAAATCATGTAGAAACTAGGGATTTCCTTTGGAAATGTCACTTAGGCAAGTTTATTTCACAGCCAATGTATGTGAAATAGCATCCCAAACTCTAAGATCTAGTAGAGCTGCAAGTAAAAAACAGGAGCTGTCCAGAAACCTTAACTGCTATCGGTTTTGAATCAATAATATTCTGCTAAAAACACCCAGACATTAAATATAAATTAAAAAACAACAAGAAAAAAGAAAAGCATCAAGAGATTTTCTCTAGCTTTTATTAAAAACAGCTACATGTGCAGGGGAAAAAAAAATCTACTGATCTAACAGAAGCGATGAAATTCTGCTGTGGGGAGGGATACTGTAAAGCATTAGCATCGCTGTGTCCCTGCAGGTCCCTGCTTCACCTCCTACTTCTGAACAGCTCTGAATGCCTCTAAAAAAACCCCATAAGCCTACTGCCATGGCAGACATGGATGTGGACATAGACAAAAACATGTCAATACTGAGTTCAAGCTACACTGGCATTATGGACTCAGTCCCGCTCTATGGTAGCTGGTAACTTCTTACTATTAAGTTGAAGGAAGGGCACGATTAAGATATAAACGAGGTCTCATACTAAGAGATGCAGATTCCCAATATGCACCATGGAAAACTTCCCTTTCAACAGTAACCGTGCACCATTTCAGAAGCCTGCTCCTCAAACCTACAATTTTGGCTTTGTTTTGGTTTTAATTTTCTTTTTTTAGTCCTAAACAGTATCAAGCCATGAACCCACCACAATCCCGATCTCATTCTGTGCATCCCTTGCTTCTCATGTCATCATCATATGAAAACTTACTACTGTTCATAAATAAGTGCAGATACTACAGCTTTATCACATCAAAACGAGTCACTTCCCTTCAATATATCAAGTCCAGAAAAAAAACTATAGCCCATCCCACTCCACATCCCATCTCCTTTCCATATGAAAGCAACCAGGAGGTCAGCCAGGTCAATCAGTAAAGAGATTAGGTTCCCCATCAAGCATATTAAGTGTCCTGCTCTTCTGCCTGGTGCCACACCATAGAAACAAAGGCTCTCTCAGACAGGGGACTGAAGGCAAGCAATGGGAAACACACTTCTGTGTGCTTGGGTACAGAACTGCACACACAGAAGGTCTTCTACATGCCTTACTTTGCATGGACTGTGCAATTTGTTTGCAATTTACCCATGAAAATACCCTTCTCATGCCATTACGGTTTCTACTTCTTGTCTGCACTTATGCTGTGGGCTTTTCCAGGCACAGGAACTGGAAAAGTAAACAGTCTAGAGAGGGCTCAGCTATCGCTCCAACATCATCTCAACACAACCCACCTGCCATTCTTTGTCTTCTATCTGCTCAGACACGTTTAAACATCTCACTTGCTCCTGCTACTCCAGTATGAGCATCTCTGTCCACCCATCTCAGTTAACAACTTCCAGAAAGATAAGAACCCAAGAGCTCCAACATTTGTGTTTGGAGACCACAAGGAGGCAGGATGCTGGGCGAGATGAAAGACTCCTTTGATCTGATGAAGCTTGGAGTCTTGTTAGAGACTTTTGTTCCACAAAGACAATTTCTAGGAGTGCATTGTCAAGAAGTCATCTCTCACTGCCTAGGGACCTACAGCATTCCTAGCATGGACAAAATCTCCCTGCTCTCCCCACTGTGAAATTCTGCCTCTCAGTAACTTTGGCTCACAGACACAACCAAGCTGTGATGATTTAATGGCAGCTTGCATAAGCCAAGCCACAGTGGCTGTTGACAAGAGCAAGGTGATGCGACTCCCTTCTGCCAGGAAAGCAGCCGTTTGCTGGGGACTAAGAACATGAGCAAGGACAACCACCCCAGCTCAGACAACCACTAATAACCTCCTAAGCCTGGGTGCTGATGCAGGTAAATTCTCCATGTCGTTTTGTTCTCTTTCAGATAGTCGTAAGAGTTAGGCTGGAGTTCAGAGGGCAAGACTGTTTCTTCTTCAAGCCCAGAAATGAGACTGGAGGAAAGCAGAGCTGAAAAGAAAACACATTTTCCCACCACAGTTTCTGCTAGGCATGGGGGAGCGCCATCCTCTTCAATGCGCTCTCTTCTTGCTGGCTGGTGAAACAAAGGCTCAGCAGCAAGGAGCTGAAGAATTCCTGGCCAAGGACACTCAGGGCTCCCAGGAGCAAGACAGGGAAAGGCTATTCTTTCAGGATAACCGTCATCTCCTCCTGTCTAAAACCTACTTCCCTGCTCCACTGCTCTAGTGAAAATGTGAAGAAACCTCCCACTCAATGCTGTCAGTTTCCTTTCTTCAGGGAAATGATACATCATACAGAAATGTTGCATAAGGTCTCCACCATGTACCTTTGAGCTTCTAAAGAAAGCATGCGTCATCATATGTTTTCTGAATTTCCAAGGAACCCTTCCCCTTCTTTTCTACTTCATTTTACAACAACAAAGTAGTGCTGCACTAAGGCCTCCAGCAGCCTCTGGAGAAACCACCAGACTACCTCCTTCAACCCACTCCAAATTCTTCCTTATGTCTTTGTGTTCTGTCATTCCAAACAAATCACATAATGAAAGAGTTACTGATAAAAAGCAGCTACCAAAGCCTCTTCTGCAAAATCCTCTGTTCCCACTTCTCCAGCAGCCAGACATCTTTCCCCGTGCAGCCTTTTCACCCCACCCAGGACTCAGCCCCATGGTCAAGCGTTCTGTCTACTACACATCAGCTGAACCATGACAACAGCATGCCCACCCGATTTTTTTTTTTTTATTTATGACTTTTTATCTTTTTAAAAAGATTTATAATCTTTTTTGGTCTCAAGTACCTATTTGAAATGC